CCCCTCCCCCTCCATCCCCCCATCCCGCCCCAACAACCCTCCCTCCATCGCCCCTCGCCCGAATGACGCCCCGCGAATCGCGCGTGAAACGAACTCGCAAGCGGATTAAACGCCCGGCGACACGGCTACATTATACGACACGTTATGCGGGCGCGGCACAACGCAATTCGGGCATTGCACAGGACGGGGCATTAACGACAAATATTATCATAATGGCGGTGGCGCGATATCGTCGTAATATTATTACCAGCATCACGCCCGTACGACGCGGCAAAACGTTTTCGGGGCGCGTCGCGGCGGCGGCGGCGGCGGGGGCACGGGAATATCCATTGCGTCGATAAGTTTATTTTGCCGGTCGCGCGTTTGTCGGCCGGGGCGGGCGGGCGGGCGCGGACGTCGGCGGCATGTCGCCGCGCGCTTATCGAATTGCGCGCGCGGGGCGGCGGCGGCGGCGGCGGCGGCGGTTTTACCTGTTCGCCGCGGCCCGCGACGGAGCCACCGGAAACGCGCGCGTCCCGGGCAAATAAATAATACGAATTAACATAAATTTTTACGCTCGGCTTCCTCATCGTCACGCGCGTTTCGCATTCACCGCCGGCACTCCGTAAACTGTATTATATAATATTATTCCCGTATCCGCCTGTTATTATTGCGTTGTGCCGCCGGATCGAACGGCGCACCCGCCGTGTTTTAATAACGCGCGCGGCGCCGGGACGCCAGGGCCCGGCCGCGCGCGTCAAATAACACCGGGTGGACGCCGTACGTGTACGCGCTCGCGCCGTCTCTTCGCTCGTGCACCGAACACATTGCTTGCGCGGCCCAGCTAAGACCGAAACCGAGCGCGTGGAACTCGCTCGGTTTCGGACGCGGCGTAAACGTTCCCGTTACGAGACTTGTGGAGGAGAACGGTATTTCGGTGGGGAACGTGCCGCGCTCAGGGTTTTTTGTTAACGTGTTCAAAGTACACAGCCCGATGTGAAAGGCTATACACGAACCTTTATTATTATTATTTTTTTTTTTTTAAACAATTGTAACTTTTAGATTCTGAATTGAAGCGAAGAAGCGCATGGTTTTACCAACAAGTTTATTGAAT